CTAAATGGAACTTACTAAACCAAGCCCGAGGTGATTGTTTCAACCCATATAAAGATTCTTTTAACCTGCACACCTTTTGTTCACTGCCTTTGGCACAGAACCCTGGAGGTTGGGTCATGTACACTTCCTCTTCCAAGTCACAATTCAAGAAAACATTTTTGATGTCCAATTGGTGAAGTTCCCAGTCAAGATTTGCTGCCAATGAAAGAAGGATCCTGATAGAGTTCATCTTGGCTATTGAAGCAAAAGTCTTTGCATAGTCCACTCCATATACTTGTGTAAAGCCTCTTGCTACCAGTCTAGCCTTGTACCGTTCAACAGTTCCATCAGCCTTGTGTTTCACTGTGAACACCCACTTACAACCCACTGGTTCCTTCCCTTCAGGAAGGTCCACCAACTCCCAAGTGCCATTTTTGTATAAAGCATCAATTTCTTCCTGCATTGCATCTGTCCATTCAGGTTTAGAAAAAGCTTCTGTCACATTCTTAGGAACAGGGACACTGTTCACAGAAGAGAGGAATGCACAGAATGAAAGTGAAACATGATCATAGGACACAAAATTAGAGATAGAATGATTAGTGGTACAAGACCTAACACCCTTTCTCTTAGCAATAGGAATATCAAGATCATTGATGACAGGTGAATCAACATTTAGAGGAACAAACATATCAATAGGAGCAAATGTACCTGGTTGATGAGACGGATCTGCCTCTGGTGAATCCGATGATGTTGGTTGCATAGTGTCAGGTTCCACGACTCTTGAACTCTGCTGGCTTTTATGGCGACGATGAAAAACCCAGAATGGAGGAGGATCAGGTAAAGGAGGTAGTTGAATTTGAGTCGCCTGTTTCTCCTCAACCCTACTCTCCCCCTGAGGAGAAACCGAGAAAAAAGATTGATTCTCAAAGAAGGATACATCAATGGAGACATAATACTTGCGAGAGGTAGGATCATAGCAGCGATACCCCTTTTGAGATAAAAGGTAACCAAGAAAAACACAGGGAATAGCCCGAGGATCAAGCTTACCTCGAGTAGGGGACAGGTTATGGACAAAGCAACGACACCCAAAAACACGCATCGGAATGGTGGACAACGGAGCTATAGGAAACAAAAGCTGATGTGGGGCCTTATACTCTAGTAACCGAGAGGGCATGCGGTTGATGATGTATGTAGCACACAAGACTGAAGTGACCCACTCGAAGCAACACCATTTTGTTGGGGTGTCCTGGCACAAGAGCTTGGCTGAAGTGACCCACTTGAAGCAAAAAACTCCGTGAGATCACTATGGAAGTATTCCTTCGCATTGTCCGACTGGAAGATATGGATTTTCGTTTGGAACTGAGTGAACACCATGCGTTGAAAGTCTTTCACAATTTTTGGCACTTCATCTCGAGATCGCATAGGGTGAACCCAGGTGTATCTAGAATGTCTAAGAACATTAATCAGCAGGAGAGATCCTTAACACTTATAATCAAGCCAAATAATTGAGATAACAGATCATCCTTGACCTACAGTCGCCTTAACGCAGGAACAGGATCACACGATCCCAAAAAATAAAGGTATAAAGATCTGACAGCATTCAGCAGCCTAGATTCATTTGGTTTTTTCACTTGGTACATGACCAAGGAGGGTAAGGAAGAGAGAAAAGGAAGGATTGTACCAGTTGTAGATCTGTTTTCCTCAGTCCAGATTCAGATCTCTGTTTCGCCCAGATTCAGCAAGTTGGAAGAGTGAAGTCTGTTCGATCTGTTCTCTCAATGAAGTTTGTTCGATCTGTTCTCTCAGTCAGTATTCCCGCTCTGATACCATCTTGACAGTGTGGCTGGCCAGAAATAAGAGGAAGAGAAGAGAAGAGAAGAAGAAGAGAGAAGGGAGAAGGGAAAAGAGAAGAGAAGGGATTGGCAATGTAACAATGCTGGCGACGCCAGCTTTTATTATAATATATATAGGGCGGCAGAAATAAGAAGGGAAAAGACCCTTGTGCCCTTGCTATAAGTGAGTACAATAGCAGACATAACAGAAGTAAAAAAATAGAAATAAAAAACGCTTTAACTAGCCAAACAGACCCTAACACCAACAACTAAATTATTTCAACACTTAACATGTCATCCACCATGTAGTTTGTGAATAACTCCAAAGATTTCAGCCATTGTACAGCTTGATATGGATCACAGCCCTCAATTCTTCAGCCCCTCTCTCCTTGTCCGAAAAGATTCTAAGAATTCTTTCTTCCCACAAGGACCAACATATTGCAACCCTCGGTCCTCTCCACATTGTCCTTCCCCTTTTCACATGCCACCTGAATAAAGAAGGAGAAAATAGGCTCTGCAAATTTGATGGAGGGTTCCACCTGCACCCAAAGAGAGAAAAAGCCCATTCCCAAATTGACTTTGCAAATTGGCACGACACCAGTAAGTGAAAACC